CTCCTCCCCCTCCCCCTCCTCCTCTTCCTCCTCCTCCTCCTCCTCCTTCTCGGGGATCTCCACCAACAGGATCTGTTCCCCGGGGTCCGGGCCTGGGCTCATGTGGATCCACACGGAGTGCTCCTCGGGCCAGGCCGCACCCCCCTCTTCTCCCTCGGGCCTCCCCTGGGATGCAGGTGGCGGAGAGCCTGGGGCCGGGGTCTCCGGGGCCGCGGGCTGTTTTGGGGTAGCTGATCCCGTTTCTCCCGCTGCATCTTCCGAACTCTTGGCCTAGAATCCAGAAAAAGTGACTCGTGAGGCAGAGGGGTCTCGGACACTTCCCAGTTCCCTCCTTCTTGGACCCCTGGGACCCCTGAGGAGGAAGACAGCGCTCCGAAATCTAATAGCTGGAAGGTTGGGCGGAGCTGCATCAGGGTTATGTGGTAGAAACAATATATTATGGGGAAGTTTAAGGATTAAAAACCCCGGTAGGATGTGGTGAAGCTCTTTGGGATATTTTAGGTCTCTGTGGAGTTGCAGGGCTGGAAGCCTGAGTGAAGTTGCAAGTTCAAGGGCAGAGCCCCATCAACAGTCACTGAGCTATTGAGGAAAGAGAGGCTGTGACCAGGAGGGAGCGCCACCAAAGCAGAGCTCAGCCGGCCTGCCCTGCCCGGTTAGCCGGGATGTGTACTCCCTGGTGAATGAGAAAAGCTCTAAGCAAATACTAAGGTAAAGGCTGATGAGGGCAGGAGCAGCTGTGGCCTGGCCCGTTTCCCGGAAGTTCTCAAAGGTTGAGACACCGCCCCCTCCCCACCGGCGGAAGAATGGGCTGGGTACCACTGGCATTAGGCTGAGCTGAGCCCCTGTGTCTGGAGACTTGGTGGGTACCTCCAACCTCCAGCCTGCGGGTTGCCCATGGATGGGGTTCCCGTGGGTAGAATTAGGGAATTGGGTGAAAACCCAAGCCTTGTGGATACCCACGGCCCCTCCTGCTCTCTCTGACGCCATCTCTGCATGGGAGGAAACTGGGGAGGGAGCAGCCCCCAGAGCAGGAGGCCCAGTAGTCTGTAGGGAGTTTAAAGTGAGAGCAGTCAGCGAGCTTATGAGGAATAGAGAAGTCAGAGGGCGCTGAAGGAGGGGAATTGGGTGGGGTGGGGGAGCCAGGACACTCCTAGATCCCACTGCAGCTCTGGGGACCTGCCGCTCCCTCTGTCTCCACGCGCTTCTGCATGTTTCGGTGCACCTGTTCCCCCCACCCCCACCCCGCCCATCCACTGTCAACTCTGACAACACACTTCCAGGGCAGGATGCCCAGATGGTGCCCATTATGGGATCTTCTTGAAGCATCCTGCTGTGAATGGAGCCAGAAGGATCATGGGAAGTTTGATCAAGGGCTTCACTGTTTAACATGCTTTTATAAAAGTATCCAAGGTAACCTGCTTCCTCTCTGCTACCCCATGTGACAGCCAGCAGTAATCTGGGTCCCAGAAGGTCCTGGAGGAGATTCCCCAGGACACAGGGCTGGCAGTGACAGAGTCGGGATTTGGACCTGTGTCTATAGGCTGCTATTTAAGAGCTCCACGCACTCTGCCTTTCTGCCCTGGTTGTTCTAAAATTGCCTTTTATGAGAATACACATGTGAATTTAATTCACATCTCCAAGCTGCCTGGGTGAAGAGCTAACACTTAGAAGCAACAAATCCCATTTCAGATAAAACCTTTCACTGTACTGAGAACAGTCTCGGAGGTCATGTTCACTCAGCCCCACACACCAGCCAGCACTAAAGACCCCAACTTGCCAGCTCGACCCTGCCCTTGACAGTTTGTGAGCCAGACAATCATATCTGTCCTCAATTTGGGGCCATCGGTGGATGCATCTGGACAATGTATTGGAACCCTGGGTGACTTTGGTGTCATTCCCCAACTCCTGCTGTCAAATGACCTCTGGATGGGTCTCCTGGACCAGCCTGGATTGAGACTGAGTTCACCAGGCTCCTTTGATTTCTGTCATGTAGACTGCTGTCCCCTCCCTGCCACTGAGCTTCTGCCTAACTCCACCCCCCCTTTCCCAGCAGCCTCCCTAAAGGACAGTCATGAACAACCATAATTAGTGCAATCATCCTAATTGGCACTCTTGGCATTAGTCACAGAAAAAAGTCCCAGAACTAAGTTAAAAATTCCCTTTAGATTTAGGGGGTGGGGACAGCTGGCACCATGCCTGTCACCTTGGATTTTCCTTTCAGATCTTTTAAATGGTCACAGACACAACATTAAATATGAGAACATCACTGTGGTCTGGGGAGGGGCATTCCCTGCCCACACCCACTGCTCCTACCTCTGCAGCAGCAGCCGGATGTCCATCTGGGGGAATGCGCCCACCCCAATCCCCACTCTCAGTCCAGGGATGGGCATATGAGCCAGTCCTCCCCAGAGCACCACACTGAATGGCTCAGGAACTGACATGTGACCCAATCCTGTCCAGTGACTATGAGCCCTGGGACTTTTTGCTGAAGCTACTGAGAAAGAGGTATTTTCTTTCTGTGGGAGTTCCTCAACCAGGAGGATGTGATCTTGGGGGATGTCCTCTTAAGCTCTTGGGGGACTGCCTGGGAATGGAGCCATCCCCAAGGGAAGCAAAGGTGACAGAATGGCAGAACTCATCCTACTGGCATCATTTGAGCTTTTAGATCCAGCCTTGCCTGAACTTTTCAATGACTTGCTCCTATAAATTCCCTGTTTTTTCAAGCTCATTTGAGCTTGACTGTCACTTGCATTTCTGTCACTTAAAAGCAAATGAATCCTGAATGACAGGAAGAAGGAAAAATAGTCCCTAAAATGGAACGCGTGGGTCCCTAGACCTTCCTGGCACGTGGTTGAAATGGACCAGGTGGCTGTGTCTCCAACTGCATTACCTGTTCCAGGACCGGCTGCTGTCTTGCAGCTGCCTCCAGTGCAGCCAGCTCCTTGAGTCGTGCCCTGAGGTGGGCAAGCTTGCCATCTTTGGCCCCCTTGGCACCCATCTTTCCTGATGCAGGCAGGGCGGCACTGAAGAGCTTGGGGGTGCCTGGACGTGGAGGAAGGATGAGTACGCTCTGCTCCTTGGGCTTGTTGCTATTTCTCAGCATTCTCCTGAAAGAAAGCAGCGTCCACTAACATCACCAGCAAGCTCTGGGAGAGAATGAAGCCTCGTTGGTTCGGGCAGAGCCCTTTACTTGAGTTGTGTGATGGCGTTTGTTTTGACTAACAGTTTCTGAGCTCCTTTTCTGAACCCAGCACAGTGCTGTTTGAGGCATCACATCTCATTGAACAATCAGAACAACCATAATGATGTGGGTCTTATTGCCTGTACGTTATAGATGAGGCTCAGAGGGGTTGAGTGGCTTTTCTGAGGTCACACAGGAAATGATGCAGGATACTTCAGTATATGGAATCAGAAATAGGATGCCCAGATGAAAAAGAGCCCAAGCTTTCTGCTTCTCCTTCTTTTGCTTCATTGTCATTTCACCATCATCACCATAACCAATGGGGACACAAGTGTCTGTATGTGTCAGGCTCTGTGCTCAGACCTTTACAGGCAGGCGTTCTTTGGTGACCCCTGTGATCCCCCTTTCTGGTGTTTACACCTCTGTGTGACCCCCTCACCTTGAGGGTAGTGGGACATGTGACTTGCTTTCAACCAGTGGAATACAGCAAGGGAGATCAAATGTCATTTTTGTGAATGTGTCACATAGGATTGTGGTCTCTGTCTTATAAGGAGACTCTCCCTTGCTGGCTGTGATGAAGCAAGCGGCCATGTTGGGAGAGGCCTACATGGCAAGAACCTTAGGGCAGCCACTGGCCAATGACTAGCTAGGAACCGAAGCCCCTGCCCCACAACCACAAGGAACTGAATTCAGTCAACAACTATGGGACCTTGGAAGCAGATCCTTCCCCAGTCGAGACTTGAGATGAGACCCAGCTCTGGCCCACATCCTGATTACTGCCTTGTAGTGGATGCATCTAAGCTGTCCCCAGACTTCTGACATGTAGAAACTTTGAGATAATAAATATGTGTGGTTTTAAGCCACTCAATTTGTGGTAACATTGTTACACAGCAATAGATAACTGATACGCACTTTAAGTCTCACAGTAATCCTTACAGGTAGGTCCTATTATTCTCCCTCATTTCAAATGAGGATGTGGACGTCCAGAGTGGCTGAGTAACTTTTCCAAGGCCACACAGCTAGGAAGTGGCAGAGCTGGAATTCAAACCCCTGCCTTTGACCCCAGCACCCCAGGTCTTAAGGATTACAAAGCAGTATCATGGTCATTATCTTCTTGGACGCTGACAATACTCCATGATGTGGAAAGGGCTGGGATTACCGTACCTAGAAGGGTTGGGGAAACTGAGGCTCAGAATGGGAGGAGTGACACGCCCAAGGTTACAGGAAGTGGCAGAGACAGAATTACAACCCAGATCCAATGCAATATACCACCCTGCTTCTCTAAATAAGGAGAGAATTTTCCATCAAAGAGAGCCCCAGCCTTTAATAAGGAATTCTTCACACTACAAATACATGATGAGTGGTTTGGCTCAAGAACAAATGAGTTTCGCCTGCAGTCTAGCATGTCTAGACGACTAATTGGCAAATTCATTCATCAGGGTTTCGGCCAAACTTGTTTGTTTAAAAATGAGGCCATTACTGGCTGCTTATCTAATCAGAGGCAATGGATTTAAATTGTGCATATTGATATTAATTGCCCAAGACTTACATTTTCGAGCTGGGGCTCTCCCAGGAGACCACAAACATGATAATTATCAGAGGCCTCTTCCAAGCCCAGCACTGTCACCTGTGTTATTTGAATCCATAATTCACAGCACGGCAGTCCGTGGGAAGGCTCAGCGTGGTACTCAAATGACACGAAAGAACCATCTACAGGGCCTTTGCCGATCGCTAATGGCTATCTCTGTTTTGAAACACTGAGCTGACTTCTGGGACTTTTCCAGATTAAGGAAATTTATCCTCATTTTCAGATGACATGAGTTTCACTCTAATTACTGTATAATTCACCCCCGGAGAGAGTGGCATGCAATGAAAGCTTTTTACCCCATTTCTTGGAGTGGCCAAGTCAGAGAGTGAAGTGTCTCACTTCTTTGGGGCCTCAGGTCCCCCATCTGTAAAGTGGGGAGCTTGGACAGAATCTCAGCAACTCAGACATCCCCAGGCCCTGTGGTTCTCAGACCTATATCTCCTTGGATGGGCAGAGCTCATCTGTGATCCCCTGCCCCTCTCCTCAAGCTTGCCTGTCCAGAGAAGCAGCCTCTGATGAACCGTGCCACGGCCCACTGTGTGCAGCACGGCCCGCCAGCCCCTCCTCCTTCCTCTGGCTGCCTCACCCCAGCACACCGCAGGCATGGCCAGGAGCAAGGCCTCTGCGGGATCCCGGCTGACTTGCTAAACCCACACCTAACCCAGCGGGAGGAATGGGATGACAGCTATGAGCGTGGCTTTTCTGAGCCATGTTCCTCTTGCAGGGGGCAGGAAGGCAGGGGGAGGGGAACCCGGTACCTATTCTCAGACATAAGCAGTCAGTTCTCATTATCCGCGGTGGTTAAGTTCTGTAAAGTGTCTGCAGACATGGAATTAGTGACTACTGAGCCATGGCTTCTGGGGGAAATACAGGATTCGGTTACAGTGAGCCTCTCCACACAACGTTTTCATCAACTGTTCATTACATAATCTTGTCTTGTGTGTGTTTCTGTTTAAAGACATCTTATTTAATATACATCATTGATTTGTTTACAGTGAACGCGCGGCTCCTGCGTGGGGTGACAGGAGATAGCACTTCAGCACTACACCTGGGGCCATTTCAACAGCAAAATCACCAACAAAAATCACAAAAATGTGAAAAACATGCTACATAATGGACCACACAAAGACACTTGTTTACAATATGAGCTGAAACAAGAAGGCAGACCGTCACCTCCTTCAATTTATCTGGGAACATGCACTTTAGGTGACTCAAATTTTCGCCTCTGGGCACACGTCTGCGAGTGTCTGCGTAAGCCTTTGAGATTGATTTGGGGATTCCAAATAAATTTAGTGAGTAGGCGAATTGCAAGTATGGAATCTGTGAATAATGAGGATTGACCGTGCATCCTTGTCCCTTGGGACAGTAGGGGGAAGTGGATAGACTTGGGGGAAAGATCACGTAGACCAGCCATTGGAAGGGCCCCATGGCTTCTCTAAGAACAGCCAGGTAAGATGAATTACAGGGCAGCTTCCTTCCCTGGGAGACCCCAACGCCTTGTCTATATTATGCTCTAAGGTCAACACTGCATCCACTCACCTGGGAGCTGCCAAAGGGATTCTGTAAAAACTTAAGTCACAGTAAGTCACTCCTCAGTGTAAAACCCTGCATAACTCCCATCTCCCTCAGAGCAAAAGCTAAAGAGCCATTGTGAGGCTTCCCCTACAAGGCCCTACCCAATCTCACCCCCTACACTGCTCCCATCTCATATCAAGCTACATTCATTTTCTTGTTGGTCTCCATGTAACACTGAGTCTGTGCCTCCTTGGGACCTTTGCACATGCTGTTCCCTCTGCCTGGAATGCTCTTCCCTGCAGGCAGTTCCCCAGCTCACTCCTTCACTCTGGCAGGTCTCAGCTGAAGTGCCACACCCTGAGAATAACTTTTCCTGACCAACTTATCTCACATAGCTCCCTCCATCACCTCTATCTCTTCATGTGGCTTTGTGTTTCCTTATGGCCTTTATCCCCAGCTGACACAACACATAGTCATTCCTTTCTCCATTGTTGGCTTCCCCGACTAGAGTGTAAGCTTTGTTTGCTCCCTCCTGTGTCCCCAGGGCCTCGAACTATCAGCTCAATAAATTATTGTGCTGTATGAATGGACATGGTGAGTTTGTTCCCTTTATCATGACCACTCTCTGTACAGCTTATTTATGGTGACTGAAGTGGAAAATATGAATATGTGATAAAAGGCAAGGGAGGAAATACCAGATAGGTGGATTAAAAAGGCTTTATCCCATGGGAAAATTATAGAGAGAATTTAATGGATAAAGAGGAACAATTATTATTATTAACATGTATTGAGCTCTCCTGTGTGCCAGGCCCCCTGCTAGAGACATTCACATACACTATTTTATTTAATCGTCTCCACAACAAAGTGATTACCCTTATTTTACAATGGAGAAACTGAGACCAGAAAAGTAAAGTAACTTTTCCAAGGTCACACAGCCAGTACTGCACATGGACAGGACTTGAGCCCTATCAGCCTCCTAAGCCTATTGTGCATTTTCTACCACATCGTGCTGCTTCCATCACTCAATTTAAAACCTGATCTTAAGTGTCTGAAAGCAAAAAAATGCTTTTCTTAAAAATTACCTTTTCCAGGGAATTCCCTAGCGGTCTAGTGGTTAGGATTCCAGGCTTTCACTGCTGGGGGCCCAAGTTCAATCCCTGGTTGGGGAACTAAGATCCCACAAACTGCGTGGCATGGCCAAAAAAAAAAAATTACCTATTCCCCAACAATACAAAATACAGATGTACAAGGTTATTCGTTGCAGTACTATTTATAATTGCAAAATATTGGAAATAGCCTAAATACAGTTGTCAAAAGGAATGAGGAAGCTGTCCGTGGACTCAGTGAATGTTTTCTGGGATTTCTCGTCAAGTGAAAAAAAGTCAAGTGCAAAAGAGAATCTGCAGTGTGCTATCCTTTGTGTAAGACAGAAAGGGAAATAAGCAAATATTCACAGATCTGCCTATTTTTGCAAAAGGAAACACAAGAAGAAAAAAGCAGAAACTAAGGCGATTAGATTCCTGTAAGGGGTAGGTGTCAACAGGTGTAGGGAGTTGGGACCCTGAATGCACTGTTTTGTAGCCTTCGTCCATGTTCATGTTCTACATACTCAAAACACAAAACATCAACAAGGGTCAGTGTGGGGGAACCCTGAAATGGAATGCAAACTGAAACACGTGAGCCTAGCTGTATTTCAAATGAATGGAACAACCACAGTAAAGGGAGGAAGACGGAGAACCAATCCAGATAACCCTGAACACAACACCTACATTACGGGTCCTCAGGCTAAAGACAGAAAGAACTGCTCTCTGCTTAGAGGGCTTTCTTCTTTCCAGTAGGTATGAAATAGGAATTCTGGTACTACTTTCTCTACATCGTAGGACTGAACAAATGAATCAATGTAATGAGGATAAAGGGAGTCAAATTTCTCAGTGTTGGAGAAGGAATTTACAAATATGGAAAAGGAGATTAGAATGAACTCTGTGATGTTGGATCGAAATTGTTAGATAGGTGGAAATAGAGACGGAGATATACAGAGATATAGATAGATACAGACAAAAAAATAGATGTTGATATATATGTATGTGCATATACATGTATGTATGTGTGTGTGTGTGTATATATATATATTTGCATTTATACATACAGGTGTATACGTGGATGTATTTCCCAGCTCTGTCCACTGTGGAGCCCTAGTAACACCCCAGGAGCAATGAGAGCACTTAGTACTCATATCTTGGTTTCTAAAAACCATTCCCCTCTAAAAGGAATCAAGCCTCCTTGGAAAAATGGCCATTTCCAGGGATGCAGCAGGGAGAGTATAAGATGAATCTATGGCGTCTTATCGTGCCTATAAGCAAACAAGTGCTAAAATATAACAGGGCTGTAACACAAGTTCGCTCTATTCAGCCTAAAGAGGTGTCCAGTGGCCAATGTGGAAAATTTGAGCGTGAAAATGATGATTGTAAGAGGATATTCATGGAATACAGCAAATCCATACCATTATAAATAGATAAATGAAAAATCAAATACATGGGAAAGAAAAGAAAGTTCTTCCTTACAGTACATTGCTAGCTAATAAATGTAGAAAGCATGACAGAGTTAGAAAATCACCATTTTGCAACCACCACGGCAATCATTGCAAGGAACCTTCAGTGGAGGCTGAAAGTAGTGAGGTAAAGTGAGATAAGGAACAGGAAATCTACATCATCTCAAGGTGACTCGCCACTCATTACTTATTAATTTCAAAGGGAAAAATAGTAACTTGAGAGTGTGGAAACTTTAACCAAGTGATCAGAGTAAAAAAATCATCAGAATAGGGAGAAAGCAGCCTCTCAATACACTGTACTGAGAAGGACACAACATCACTTCTGAGTAATTCCTGCCCAAAATGCAGAACCTGAAGGTAATGATGAGAAGACATATAAACTTAAATGGAGGGACATTCTACAGAATAACTGGCCTGTCCTCTTCAGAGAAGTCAAAATCACTGAAGACAGGAAAAGGTGAGGAAATTTGATCCCAGATCAAAGGAGACTGAAATGGCAACATCATGCAGTGGGGGATCCAGGAATGGAAAGGAAGAAAAGAAAAGCTATAAAAGACACTATTGGGACGATTAACAAAATCTGACTATGGATTAGGGATAAGTATTGCTTCAATATTGAATTTCGTGATTTTCAGAAAGGTACTACAGTTGTGTAAAAGAAAGTCTGAGTCCTTAAGAAACGCACACTAAAGTATATATGGATTTCTTTTATTTAAAAAAAAAAAAATGTACCTGGCCTTCTTCCGGAGCAACTTTTGAGACTCAGGATAATGCACCAAAATGTCATTCAGGTCCTTCTTATCCAGAATGAAGAGGTTGGTAAACCCGTGGGCTATCACGTTAGCTGTGCGCCGGTTCCCGCCCCCAACAGCCAGCAAGCTGGGGCAGAGAAGGGAGGGAGGTGAGACCCTCAGGAGGCTGCAGTTTTGATCACACTAGCATCTTCACTTTCACCCCTGCCTGAAGCATCACTATGGCCTCACACGGGTGACAGCTGGGCCCACCTTGCATATGTCAGCAGGTGCCAGTGCTTGTATGCATAGCGGTTTCCTCAGACCCACCGAAGGGCCCTTGAGGACGTGGTCCCACCCACTGGCCATCCCTCCCTTCCCCAGCCTTTGCCAAGGTCCCCTTGTTTCACCCCGTTCTGACCTTATTTCTCCAAACACAGATCCAGCTTTCAGCGTCACCAGTACGGACTTCCCATCCGGGCCACCCAAGACCTGCACCTGCCCCGCCTGGATGATGTACATCTCCCGGCCTATCTCCCCCTGAAACAGAGAAGGGGGCGAGTCCCTCTGTCATCACCAAAAGCAACCACAGAAGCAGCAGGGCTGGGCCCAGGCGCTGGTGGCACAGTGCAGAGGAACCTGGGCTGGGATCGAGCCCTCCTACCGACTTGGTATGTGGTGTAGAGATAGTCACTTCCCCTCCGGGGTCTCAGTCTCCCCACCTGTAGATTGCAGGATTACGGTGGGGCGTTAGTGGTGTGATGGAAAATGCTAGATAACGAGGCCCAGGTGTAGGGGTATTCGGTAAATTTCCAATTATACGCACCCATGGAGGGCCCAGAGGCATGGAAAAGCTCACAGTGGTTCATACAATCAGCTGATACCTGCGCCTCCCCCATATCCTAATAGGAGCTTGGGCGGCATTTGCTTACTGAAATAGGAATGATAACACCTTTAATAGGAATGTCCAGCATTACCTAACGCTTTTCTGTGCCAGGCGCTGCTCTAAGTGCTTTATGTGACTGAGCCTGCTTAGTCCTCAACAGCCCTCTGCGGTAGGAACTCTGCCCAAGGTCACAAAGTTAAGCAAAGCCGAGCCTGGATTTGAAAACAGGCAGTCTGGTTCCATGAACCCAGAGTTCATGGTTGTTATGAACCCCCATTCATATGTTGAAATCCTAACCCCCGGCTCCTCAGAATGTAACCTTATTTGGAAATAGGGTCATTACAGATGTAATTAGTTAAAAGAAGATGAGATCATACCGCAGTTGGGTGAGCCCCTAATCCAATAGGATTGGTGTCCTTATAAAGGACATTTGGGCACAGAGACAGGCATAGAGGGAAGACAGTGTGAAGAGGCACAGGGAGAATGCAGTCATCTACAAGCCAGGAGACAAGCATGGAGCAGATCCTTTGCTCACCGTCCTCATAAGGAACCTACCCCACCGACACTTGGATCTCGGACTTCTAGCCTCCAGAATTGTGAGACAATACAGTTCTGTCATTTAAGCCATTCCATTTGTGGTACTTTGTTGTGGCAGCCCTAGCAGACTGATACAACGGTCTTAATCACAAATTAAACCAAATGAACGAATGAATGAATAGCTTTGCTTCGGACTAGAATCAGAAATACCCAGTCTGCCAGCACCTTCCAATCCTCATGCCTTCACAGACCGGTGCCCTGGCCTGATCCCTATCGGCCACACATGGTGTGTGTAAAGGGAGAGAGACCAAAGACTGGTAAGTGGCTTATGCTTTTGATTCATTTGACAAATATTCCCTGGGCATCTCACACATGCATGGCCTTCTTAACAAAAAGGAAGAAAGTCTCGTTCCCCTGTTTCAGTGTCCAGTTTGACATGGGGCTGAAGTGTGAGGGGCTGCAGAGCTCACCCTCATCTCACTGACCCGCCCATGGGTGGTCCTGGGGTGGCCTCGGGTTGCCTCAGCGAGACTGTCACAACGCCAAACCTGTCAGCAGAGGGCGCCATTTACACACGTTCACCAAGTGTTCACTTCAGCTTCCACGGCAAACTTCCCAACAATCTGATTCATTTTTCCTCATCAGAGGTAAAGTCTACATCACCCACAAGGATATTAGCAGCAGCAATGGCACCGACTCTGGGCCAGCCATGGTGCCAAACTCTCTATGCATATCTTCTTCAATTCTCACAGTCACCCCATGAGGGAGATACTATCAATATCCCTACTTACCCATGAAAAGAGTCAGGCTCAGAGAGGGCAAGCCACTTCCCCAAGGCTGCACAGCTAGGAATTGACTCCAATGTCAGACAAATCATTCTATTGTTCCCAAACTTCTCTTGGCCGCTAAGGCTGCAGCTTTAAATTCTCAGCCATACCCTTGTCCCCATTCCCCCAGCTCTTTGCTTCCAGAAACTTCACTGTTATGCAGCATACAACTTGGAGATGGGGACCTTCTGGGGCTGGGGGTTCCTGAGTTTCACAGGGGGTTCTTGGGCAATATTTTCATCCCTGTATACACACTAAGCTCCTCCACCCTGACCACTCACTCACCAAGTGACCTCGGTCTCACTCGAATCCCATAAAATGGGAGCAGAAGGGGCCTTAGACATTGTTTAGCCCTGGCATTCAAACCCAAATGAGTCCCAGGATCAGGTGGATGATGTAAAGGAGAGAAGGGAGCCTGTGGGGCAGTGGAGAGTGGTGGGACCTGTGGCATCAGGAGAGGATGACATCCCCTTCAGGGCCAACCCCTTCTCCACTCCACATGATTCTGGCTATTTGGGAAAGTGGGGCTCAATGCTAGCTGATTTTCTGTTTTCAGCCGGAAATCTGGATTTTTATGTGAAACCTTCCAGTTTTTTTTGGCAATGCTGCGCACTTTGCAGGATCCTAGTTCCCTAACCAAGAACTGAACCCAGGTCACGGCAGTGAAAGCACCAAGTCCTAACCACTGGACCTCCAGGGAATTCCCGAAACCTTCCAACTTTTTTTTTTTTTTCCAACTTTTAAAGGTTGGAGACTAATTCAAAATTTTAATTTTAGATTAGTCCAAAAAAAAAAGAAGAAAAAAAAAAACCCATGAAACATCTGTGGGCTGGCTCCTATGCAAGAACCATTAGTTTGCAACCTCTGACCTATCCTACCCCTCCTCCAGCCCCATTTTCCTGACAGGAAGACCAAGACCCTGGAAGCAGGTCCATCTACACAGTCAAGACCCTGCCCCTCTCTATGTTCCTCACTTTCCTCTTCTATAAAGTGGGGCTCCTCGTCCCGGTCCCCATGGTCCCAGGAAGAGGGAGCAAGGCCTGAGGCACATCTGAGTTCAGTGCCTAGAGCTGGACAGAGCCTCCTCGTGCCAAACAAGCCTGGAGCCCTGGGGTCAGCTCACCACCGTCCTCCCCTCCTGGCAATTCCGCTCCCCCCCCCGCTGTGCCTTCATAGGCCCCCACTCCAGCCCAGCTGCGACAGGCGGTGTCTGTGAATCCCAGACCGCCTTGAGGCTGCCCTGGACCACTCACCTTCTTGCACACGTAGTCGTTGGGCAGGTAGACAACAGAGCGGAGCCTCTTCAGCATGTCGAAGATCATCTGCCGGTCACAGCCCTGGCCCCGAGAGGAGGGGAAAGGAGCCGTTTAGAGGAAGGTGTGGGCTCTGGACCTTCCAGAGTCCTGAGGGTGGGGACACTGGGTGGGCCATACCTGGAAGAGTTCCACTTTGCTGACGATGTCATAGTTCACATCAATGGCGAGGTCCAGCCGCATCTTATCTGGAAGCTGCACCATCAGCTCTGACTCGTCTGCAAATGAGACCCTGCAAGGTTCAGAGGTACAGCCGGGTCCATCCTTCACACACACAGGGCCCGTCCACACCACACTGGCGGGGACCCCAGGCACACCATTCCTCTACCGCCTGGAACCACTCTAGATTGGGAGGGTATCCTCTCTGCCTCCAGGCCTTTGCCAATGCCGTTCCCTCTGCTGGGAACAGCCCCCTTCACCTTCCTGGCTAACCCTACTCATTCTGCAGAACCCAGCACTCATGTCACCTCCTCCAGGAAGCCTTCCCTTGACATCCTCCCACCTAGCTATTATGCTATCAGTCCCTGTGCCATAGCACATATCACACCCTTTACTGCAATTGTTTGCCAATGATCTGTCTTCTCCACTCACATTATAAGAACAACATTAGCAAGAAATGAAGCATATGGAGCACTTACTGTGTGCCAGGCAGTTTTACAGAGTGCTTTACCAAGATGATTTCATTAAATCCTCCCAGCAGCTCAAGAGGTGCCCACTATAACCCACTTTACAGACAAGGACAGGGAGACTCCGGAGGGCAGTGACTTGCCCATGTCCATGCAGCCCAGGGGAATGGAATCAGGACCCCACCCAGGCCCTGGGACTTCAGAACCTATCCTGGGAGAGCAGTATGTCTGCCCACCATGGGGTCTATGGTGCGCAGCTGAGAGCCTGGCACAGAGTGAAGGTCGGTAACTGGAGACAGAAATGTACCATGGGGCCCCAGCCCCGTGCTCTGTCCACTGCACCACAATTAGCTTAGGGCTCAAGTGCTGGGTCTGTGCAACCCTGGGCAGGTCAGAGCCCTCTCTGGTCCTCAACATGTACCCCTGTGAAAAGTCGCAAGGCTGTCACTAGAACAGAATGAGGCAGTGGAAATGAACATGCCTTGGAAACTGTAGTCGTGTGCTTTGTCCACAGACTTGCCAACACCCCCCAACTCAGGAGACCGTGGGCCTCAGGTGTGGCTTCTTTGAGACCAGAGTGAACCCCACAGAAGCAGTGGGGGGCCCTGTCATTCTTCTGAGGGCCTTGGGAGACTCTAGGCACAGTTTCAGTGGTCCATAAGCTTTTCAGAGCCCTCCAAAACGATGTCTAGGCTCTGAAAACAAAATTACTAGCTCCCCAAAATAAAAAGGAAACAGGAAAAAAATAAAGTCAATTCACATGTAATTAACCTATTCAAATTTCACTAAGGATTCCATTTAGAATCTGTGAAAACTTCACTATATTTGGAAACAGTTTACAGGTAAGATTCTCCCACTTTGCAAGAATAACGGAGTATATACCTCATCATTGACAAGAAAGCAGAAACAGCAGTGAATGAAAATGCACTGTTTTAGCCAATTTCAGAAGCAAAGTATGACATCAAAAAATTTTTTTAAATATATTGTAATAAACTCCAATGGAAAATAATCTGAAAAAGAATTTTTTAAAATTTACAAAATATGTGTTATATGTATGGATGTATACGAAGAGGAAGAGAGGAGAGAGAAACAGAGACCGATAGAGTCTTCCTTCCCTCCTGGTTCCAACTGTACTTGCATCTTCGAATGGAGATGCATTTCAAGGTGGGGGGCGGCATTCGGAAGACAAGCCCTTCACGTCTTCAGGGGTCTCCTGATGGCTTAACTTGGGCACCGCCCAAGGCCTCCCCAGGCCGCTCTCACTTAAATGTTGGGGCCAAGAGAGGCCCCCATGCTCGGGGCCTCAGGGACACGGGATGAGGCCAGGGCCCAGGAAGGCAGGGCACCGGGTGGGGCTGGGGGAGCTGGTGACAGCTGGGTCGGGGCGGGGAGGGGAGGGGGGAGGGGGCGTGGGCTTAACCAGCATGCCTTGGGAGTGGCAGGTGTACTCTGTACTTGCATCTTCGAATGGAGATGCATTTCAAGGTGGGGGGCGGCATTCGGAAGACAAGCCCTTCACGTCTTCAGGGGTCTCCTGATGGCTTAACTTGGGCACCGCCCAAGGCCTCCCCAGGCCGCTCTCACTTAAATGTTGGGGCCAAGAGAGGCCCCCATGCTCGGGGCCTCAGGGACACGGGATGAGGCCAGGGCCCAGGAAGGCAGGGCACCGGGTGGGGCTGGGGGAGCTGGTGACAGCTGGGTCGGGGCGGGGAGGGGAGGGGGGAGGGGGCGTGGTCTTACCCAGCATGCCTTGGGAGTGCCAGGTGTACTCATACCAGGTCTTGACCCGGTTCTGCACGGACCTGGGGATCTTGTAGAAGTTCATGTATTTCACCGTGCTGTCCATACAGCTGCGGTAGTAGGTCTTTCCCGCAGTAGCGGCCCCCACCACGTCTCTCATCTGGGGGTAAGGAGGGTGGTCAGGGGAGCCGCTGGGTCAGAGCGGGGCCGGGCTCTGGGGACGTGTGTTGTGGGCACATTTACTTAACACAGGCCAGGGGTACGTGGCTGCGGGGCTGGGGGGGAGATCAGGAGAGAGGGAATCCCATGTCCACACACAGGTTTTCCGATGATGCTGCACGTGGAGGAGCGAGGCTGCTGGCCCCCTCCGGTGGCCTCAGGTCTCTGGGGCCACACAAGGAGGGAAGGCCTCCCTGGGCTGGGCTGATTCTGGTACAACGTGGCCCCTTGGTGCCAGAGGTCACTTTGACACCACGCGCCACCCTCCCGCCCCGAGGAAATATGAACCAGGAGTGCTGCTCCTTGGAGCAGAGCCCCTCAAATGTAACTCTGAGGACCCCTGGTGGTTGCCTCAGGCACTGACTACAGTATGAGCCGCACCCCCAATACATTAGAATCCACCGGGGGCTTCTCTCCAAGGGAACAGCCCAAATCCTCAGCCCCTGCAGAAAGCCATTCAGCCCAACTCTCCAGCTGTCCCAAAGGACTGACATTTCAAATGGGAAGCAACCTCAGAGAGGAAATGGGACCTACACCTCCATCACCACCCCTTCACTCAGCGGGTCCCAGAGCTCCAGGCTCCTAACTCTCGGCCCACTGCTGTTTCCTGGGCCTAGTCTGAAAGCAACGGGCACAGATGGTGATGCTTCTGACAGCAGCAAGAGAGCAAAGGGCCCTGCAGGCAGGTGGTTTGGAACAGACTAGTGACCCAGCTACCTGTCCGATCATCACGGAGAAAGTGAAGACACCTGTGAAATAGTTCAGACCCTGGAAGACAATTTCAAAGAGCGTCTTGGGGTCGGGCAGGCCACCGATGGTGATGAGGGTCTTCACAGCCCAGTAGTAACAGCGAATGTAACTAGGGAGAGAAGAGGAAGGGGACCTCAGTCATCACAGGCCCTGCCCTGTCGATCCTGGGCAGCCTGGCTTGGATACGTGTACACTGTACAAAAGAGAAAAAGCTTTACGGCTCATAAGTGCAAACAAACAAAACCGAAAAAGAAAAAAGGAAAAAGTGAAAACGCTCTCCCAACTTCAGAGCCCTCTGCCACTTGTAGAGCACGTTCACAGGTACTGTGTGGTTTTGTTGTGGCTCTGCCCCAACCCTGCAGAGACATGTTGTCATCCCCATTTACAGATGTGGAAACTGAGGCTTCTGGAGATTGCTTAGAAGACTTGGCAGCAGGATAAACCAGGGTCTTCCGGCTCCTGATGCCTGGGATCCCTCAGTTTCCCTCAATGTTTTCAATGTCTGCAGTCTTTCCTTTGCTATCCCATCATGAGGTTTAAGAACAACCTCGAAAGTGGAAGATATCTGGAGGATCACCTTTTCTGACCCTCCCCCTTGCCTGTCCAATAACCAGATAGTGAAATTGAGGGCCGCAGAGGGAAAGGGAACACCCATGGTCACCAGCTGGCAAGTTCCAGAGCTCAGACTGGAAACCAGATGTCATCTGCTTCTCTGAGCTAGCACCCACCATCAGTAAGCCTTTGACACAGCTCATGAATCATCGGAAAGGGAGGTATGGGTGATGGGGCCCTACTGTGTGGTAAAAGGCATAGGAAATGCCTGCGCTTGTCTAATTATCACAAAGCAGTGAGAGTCCCTCCCTTTTTTTTTTTTTTTAAGTTTTGCATGTTTATTTATAATTACTCCAACAGAGCAGCCCCATTTTTATGTTCTAAGCTTTAGCCACTAAGTCCTACAAAAATAAACCTAAGCTTTTACAATATCTTAAACAATACAGAACTAAAATCTTTATAGCTATTTAAAGGGATTTAGTTACCAAGGTGCTTATGTTCCTACCTTCAGACCGTGCCCTCCCGTCAGCAAGGTTGAGGTCAGCAGGGCCTAAAGCCAGGGCAGTCTCAGCAGGCTTTCCTGTGCTTCCTGCCCTCCCACCAGGGCACAGGAATTGCCCAGAGCCTGCTCTGGCTCCAGTGTCCTGATACACCCATGTTTCCAAAGTCCCTGCTCTACTGAGACATGGAGAACATCAACCAGCTGGCCAATCATCTGGTCCAAGAATGACCCCACATTTGTCCTCCCCTGGGCTCTGTTCACAAGCTATTTATGCAGCACCATGCTTAGAGCATGGGCTCTGGAGCTGGACTGCCTGGGCTCAAACCCAGCTCTGCCACTTTCTAGCTGCATAACCTGGACAAGTTACTCATCTAGCCAAGCCTCAGTGTCCTTTCCCTGAAAGGGACATGGCAATAGAGCATCCTTCACAGGGCGATCATGAGGGTGACATGAGGTGCAAAAGAGTGCCTGGCACACGGTGGGCTCTCAGTAAATGTCAGCTATCAGAGCCTTCACTGTCACAGGTGCCAGCAGTGGGGAACAATAGACTCACCTATGTCCTCAAGAAGTTCACTGTCTAGTGGGGACGGCAAGTCAACGTGCAATGAGCACTGGGGGTGGGGAAGCAGAGGTGGCTGGGGAGTTGGGGCAGTGCGGGGGCTCTACCTCTGAATAGCTGCAAGGCCTGGGGTGGGGCTCTGGGCCTCCTGACCCCTCATTACCACCTGCTGCAAGAAAAATCTCAGAATCATGAGACAGGCCTGCCCTGTCAATCCCCATCATACCAGTCCTGGCCACCAGAGGGCATGCTGAGCAGCCTTTAGGAGGTCTGAGCTGGGCACTGCCTGGGCGCTGCCTGGGCACTGCCTGGGCTCTGGGTGCCACTGGGCCACCAATAGAAGATGAGTGATATCCACACAGCTCCTGCTTTCTCCTAAATCCTTACTGGCTGCAGAAGTCAGCCACTGGCATGGATGGCACATCTTAGGGGCCTCCCAAGTCTTCCATGCCACTGGGTCTGCCCCAGACCAGGCCAAAGCAGAGCAGGATGAAGAAACCAAATATTAATATATAGGAACTTAGGTCCTTAAGCTCCCTGGCCTATAGCAGGTACTCAAGGAATGGTCACTATTTTGAAAGTTATTATCATGGATGATGTTGGATTTCTACAGGAATTCTCCTTCACTACTTATGCTTTTGCATATCCTGGGGTTCCCTACAGGATTCCATTTCGAAAAGGGTAATGCTGCCAGAAAAGTGTGCCCCTCCACTACGGAGCAGTGAGAACTCCCAAGGGCCATGCAGAGGGAAGTCCCGGATGGTTGGCCCGCCCTGTCCTCCCCTGCCCTGCCTGCCATTCCTCCCAGGCCTACCCGTGAAATCTGAGTGTAATCCTACCCCCATTTTATAGATGAGAAAATTGAGTCTCAGAAAGGGTAAGGGTCTTACCCAAGGCCACAGAGCAAGATTTAATGAATAGCTTCTGTCCTTCCCTTTGCATAGAATGTCTTCGAGTCCTCCCTCTGCCCCCTTATGAGGGGATGAATGAATGAATAAATGAGTGAATGAATAGTCTAGTCATGGGCTCAGGAGCAGGGCCAGTGGTGATGTAGGCGTGCTGGGCCCTGACCCCATCCCCGACACACTCCACCCCGCAGCAGATGGCAGGATTCCCCCCGCCTGCCTGGTTGCCCTGGACCCTGTGACCTTCTAGGTGAGCTCCCCTCAGGCCACAGGCCCGTCGCAGAGGGCGACAGCTGTGGCCATTGGGGCCAAGGTTGGGGCATCTGTACTGAGAAGGGACTTTCTGGACCGACAATCACTCTAGAGAGAAGCCACCTTGGACACAAGTGGCCTGTTCTAGCGCCAACTGGAAACAAGCACGTGGAGGAGGGGAAAGTGTTGACAGCCGGACTGAGAGCATTTTGTGTCACTAGTGGGCACAGCCCAGGGCGAGGCAGGGCCTGCCTGAGGGGACTTACTGACCCCCTGGGCCTGAACTCTTCCTCCGCCTCTTTGTTACCACAGCTGACCAAGTGCCGGCTGTGGCCTGGCATGGGATCGGTGACTCAGAGGCACCCAGTCCTCACAGTTACCTCTTCAAGGTGTGGGGCTCCTATTATCAGACCCATTGGGCAGATCAGGAAACTGAGGCTCAGAGAAACGAAGTGACCTGCCCACTGCTAGCAGGTGGCAGCACCAGGAATGAGCTCCGGATTCCTGTTTCTAAAGCCTGTGCTCTGAATCTCCAGGCCCATCCCTGACCTTGACCCTAAGTGCTTCTGTCTCCTTCCCACACTGCCCTCCATCCTCATTATCACACAAACCCTCTCTTGACCTTTTCTTTTTTTCTTTTTTTTCCCTCACGGACAGGGCCCTAACCCCTAACCAGTTCATCTGTCTGCTTCCTGCCTGTCCTCCCCATCCATCCTCCCATCAGCCATCATTGGGAAAATCATCTTTCTGGGATTCCCCTGGGTCCTGTCATTCTCCTGCTTAAAAGGCTTTGAAAGGCAAGTGGTGAGAGTGTAAATGGGCAGCTTTCAATAACCAACCAAGCCTCAGAAATGAGGTGGTATACGGGAACTCTCTGTACTTTCCAATCCACTTTTCTGTAAACCCAAAACTGCTCTAAAAAAATAGTCTGTTAATTAAAAAAATAATAATTTTTTAAACACTTCATAAAATGTTCATACCCTTGGCCCTGCCACCCCTCTGTAGGAATTTATTATGAGGAAACTGTCAGACCAGAAGACAAAGATTCCTAAACACAGACACTCCCTGCAGCATCACGTGTCATCATGAAAAAACTGGAGACAACTTAAGTAGCCAATGACAAGGAAATGGCTAAATAAATGGTGGTATCTCTGTGTGGTGGGGCACTGGTATCATGGTTTTTAAAATTTTACTGATGGGAAAATATGCACAATATTATGTTATTCTATTTCCTTGTTGGTGACAATTCTTTTCACACTTTCACATTCCTAAAATAAGGATTAGTTTATAATCCATGTATACGTTTAGTGTAATATTTCCTTTTTTCCCAAAAAGCTATATTGACTCAATAATGTATCATAATCAACTGCATCTTAGACTCAAAGAAAGAGAGTATGTTCCCGATCTTTCTTTTATAATCAGAATATATATATATATGTGTATATGAACAGTAAAAAAGAGACTTTTGTCGGTTTTGCCTAGGGCAGCTCTACCCAATAAAAATATGATGTGATCCACATATGTAATTTAAAATTTTGAGCAACCACATTTTTGAAAAGTAAAAAGAGGTGAAATTAATTTCAATAATGTATTTCAGTTAACCCAAAATATCAAAATTAATATCATATCCACATGTAACCAATATTTTAAAACTTAGTAATAAGACACTAATCCAAAACCTGTGTGTTCACTACAGTTGCAGCGTATCTCAGTGGCCCTTGCACTTCAAGTACTGTAGTCGGCAGCCCGGGGCAGCCAGTGGCTTCGGTATGGCTCAGGTGGGAGGCTGCTTGGCAACCCAGCCCCGCTTCCCTCTCTGGATCTTTCCACACACCCTGCCCCCTCCAGCGACAGAGGACCGCTGGCTCCCTGACTCCACTATTTCGCAACTCCACACCTTTCTTCCTGCTGTTCCCTCCCCGCAGGATTCTCTGCCCCTTCCCTCCACCTACCCAGGCCAAGCTCAAACTTAACTTTTCAGAATTGACCATCCCACGCCTCCCTCCCCCCACCCAGGGCACTGGGCAGATGGTACCACACATAAGACTCTGTAGCCATGCTGTCTGGATTCAAATCCCAGCTGTCTGTGTGATCTGGGGAGGTCACTTCATGTCTGTTACCTCATCTGTAAAATGGAGATGCTGATGGTTCCTGTCTTGTGTGATTTTGGGGAGGATTAAGTGAGATACTATGTGAAGTGCTTAGAACAGGGCTGGTCTGTATAAGCCTTCTCCAACGCTTGCTATTATTAGTACTACTATCATTGTCACCATCATCAACATTTGAGAATGGACCTTTTTGTGTGGCAGCTCTCTGGACTGGCAAGTAGATTTCTCCTTGTTTGCCAGCTCCTCCACGGCTAGCAATGCCCAGGAAGCATGTCGAGTATTCCCTGGCCTTCGTCACGCCCACAGCCGTGCCCACAGGGTGGAGGAGTGGACACGCACGTGCTGTGAACTGGCCAACTCAGTAGACTTTGGGATGCTGAAAGGATCTTTCTAGCAGGTCTTGTTCCTGTCTGCCCCCTTTTGCCTGGCACGTGGCAGGTGCTCAGAAAATGTTAGATTAGTGAAGATGTGGAGACTTGGCCCTTGAACCTTATCATGACAATGATTCTTTGGGAGCGAGGTGACCTCGGCAACACGGCGGCAGTGGGACTCCTTTCTGGGAGTCTCGGTACCGTGAATTATTAAGACACAGGAGGAAGACTGTGGCTCACCTGTTTCCCACGCCATCATGAACCCAGTGAGTGGAGCCAAGGCCCTCATAGGCTGAAGCCCAGTAATACAGACATGAGTTCACATGTAGACTGTAGAGCAGGTAGGCTGTGGTCCTGATAACCCTGCAAAAGAAGGAAGGCATGAACACAGTAGCAGAAAGGCTGGCAATGACGTATCACCCCAGGGGTCAGAACTGCAGGGAACAAGCTAGTCTTCGCCCTTCCCAAAGCCCACCTCAGAGCCCTCCCTGTCGGAGCTGCACGGCCCTGCCCAGCTGTCTGGTGTGATGGACACTTGACCGATGGGAACCAGTGGCTGGACTCGGCCAACTGGCTGCTCTGTTGAGACTGTGCTGGTTAGGAATGGTGATACTTGAACAGAAAGTTGTCAAGACTGGGGGCTGGAATAGGCACAGAGCTACATATGCAGACAATGCCAGGGAAGTGGAAGAGCTGAGTGGGGGATGCACCGGGGCGGGGGGCAAAGAAGGGACAGATGCATACAGAGGAGCGCTGCTCCATGAGACATGTGGAGAGGAGCCCTGTCCCCGAGCGTGGCCTGGCTGGTCCTGGGTCCCAAGCTTGGACATCTGCAAGATGGCCCACTGTGTCCATACAGCCACTACCCCCGTGTTTGAGCGCTTAGGGGGGTCAGTTTCCTGAGCTGAGACTAAACTGAGGGCCAGCTCCCTGGAAATGCAGGGGAGCCGTGCATGTCAACCTACGTGAGCCCTCCTCACAATTGGGGGAAACGGGACATTCCTGGTTCTCTAAAGAACAAACATCCCTTCGCAGAAGGGCCAGGAAGAGGCCCGGCTTCCGGTGAGTGGCAGTGGCGAGGGGGCTTGGGGGCCAGGGGAGCCGAAAGGGGAAGTGATGGGGGTGGAGAATGCCTTGCTCCGTTCTTGCTGCAAATGTCCTGGGGCATGTGTGTACGTGCATGTGTGTGCACGTGTGCACTTGTGTGTGTGGTGTGTGTGTGTGTGTGTGTGTGTGTGTGTGTGTGTGTGTGTGTGTAGGGGTCTCACCTGTAAATGTAGGCTTTGCTGAGGATGGCTTCCAGGCGGTTGTTAAACTCGAAGAAGGCCATGTACTGGGAGAAACAGCAAAGCATCAGGGGCGGCCCGCTGCCCTCACCTCCTAGACCACTCCCCATAGACCCCCGGTTGGGAGCGGGTTGGAGAGTGAACATTCAAAATCAGAGGTCCTTAGCCCTTTGAGGAATGGGGGGCCAGAAACTCCATTTCCGAGTCTGATGGAAACCCTGGACCCTCTTCCTTGGAAATTACATGTAATCATGTTGTCACAGTTTGTGTATAACTTCAGGGGACTCCTAGACCTTCCAGATCCTATCATGAAACTTTTAAGGGACATGCATCCCAGGTTAAGGACCCTGTTTTCAAGGTTTACTAATAAAGACAACAATTATATAAAGAAACAGCCGCTCGCTGATCTCCTCGAAAGGCTTATTTATAATAATAAAAGTGTAAGATAACTGCCCATTACTGAGCCCCTTGTATGACTGCACTTTATACACTTTACCTTAGCACTTATTTACATGTATTACCCTTCTTTTACAGAGAGGAAACCGGCCCTCAGGGGAGCTCAGGAACTTGCCCAAAACACACAGCTGGTAAGTGACAGAGCCAGGGTTCGAAGCCAGATCACACTCAAAACTGCAAGCTCAGGGCTTCCCTGGTGGCGCAGTGGTTGAGAGTCCGCCTGCCGATGCAGGGGACACGGGTTTGCGCCCCGGTCCAGGAAGATCCCACATGCCGCGGAGCGGCTGGGCCTGTGAGCCATGGCCGCTGAGCCTGCGCGTCCGGAGCCTGTGCTCCGCAACGGGAGAGGCCACAGCGGTGAGAGGCCCGCGTAGCGCAAACAAAACAAAACAAACAAAAAAAACGGCAAGCTCTTTCCACAATGTTACACTTGCCTCTAGATCTCTGCACACATGTTGTTTGACCTTTGAAAATAACATTGACGAAGATTCCCTGGGGGCCATGCTAGCTGTCATCCAGGTGTTCGTTCTAATTTCCACCTGGAGTTTGCATCGCATGAAGAAGGACCACGGACTTGGATCCTCACCTTGGACCCAAAGAGCTGCATCCTCTGAGTCCTGCTAGATGTTAGGTGCTTGAGTTACATTCACTACTACCAACATGGACCAAGATATGGATCCAGCCTCTGGATCTGGGGTAAAACTTGGGCTGTGGATCTAACCCTCCTCACTCTGATGTATGGCTCTAAAGCAACCTCTGCCGCCCCTGGAAGGCTGGCATGTGTCAAATAAGACTGGTGCCACTTCCAGTTTCCCTCTTCCTCTGGGCAGCCAGGAAGCTCAGAAGCAGCTTTCATGCTCCATTCCAGATATGCTTTCTTCTCATCGAGGTACTTGCGTTCTTCCAGCTTTTCTCTGCCCTATTTCTCCAAGTTATTAAGGTTATTGCGTTTGCCTCTTTTGTAAATTCCCTCATTACCATTTTGGGGAAGAAGCATCAGGTATTATGTGAGGAGAAAGATGAATTTACTTGGTCTGCCAGAAAAATCCATTTGGGGGATCCTGAGTGCTCTGACTAGCTGTCCACTCTGGTCACATCAAAGGATGTTGCCAGGTCTCTACACTGTGTCACCCTCTCTGAGACATTGGCTCTGCCCCGGTGACAGGAGGAATGGTTGTAGTGACACTGTAATGACAACAACTAATGATGAAACAGGTGTCGGGCTGCACGTTCAAATCCATCCTGGGCACTTCCTGGCCCCTGTGACCTTGGGCAAGTCACCCAAGCTCTCCAAGCCTCTGCTTCTCCATCTTTTAGATGAAGACCATCATAAAGCAGAAGTCTCTCTGTTGAATCTCTATAGTAACTGAAAGCACAGACAGTGGAAACAGGCTGCCTGGGTTCAAATCCAGACTCTACTCCTTCCTACCTGTGTGACCTTGGGCAAGTTACTTAACCTCTCTGTGCCTCAGGCATCTCATTTGTGAAATTCTGGTACTAGCAACACTCATCTCACGCTGTTGAGGAGTAGGCACTTGTAAAGCCTCCAGAACAATATGTAACGCACAGCACAACTAAGAAGCGCTAACAATTGTAAGGAATTTCCCATCTCCCCTCGGGACCACCCTTCCCAGATGCCTCCTGCTCCCCAGTGCTGCTCAGGCCAGACATTAAGCTGCCACTGCAGGTGCAGAGCACGGAGGAGCTGAAGGCCTTGGATGGTCTTACCTTCAAACAGCGGGGCAAGCGCAGGAGGGGATTCACACCGAATTTCAAGTAGAGAAAGTCCAAGGGCAAGAGGCAGAGCATATCCATCTGAAATCCCAGCAGGACACCACAGTGCATAAAATAGTATATAACTCCCAGGGTTGTGGGCTGGGGTGAGTGGCAGGGGTCTCCACCTTCAATGAAAAGGTGAGGTCAGAATGCCCCTGGAGGGGCTAAAATTAGGGCAGGAGGCATCCTACCAATGAGCTCCAGCCTGTGCTGGTCCTGGCAGGAACCACGTCACATTGGCCCCAAAGCACCCAGGGACCCCAGAGACACCACCTCCCAAGATCCCTGGCACACACCTTAAAGCGCTGAGATTTCAGATAATTGTTGCGCATCTCCTTTTTGTCTGTCTGGAATGAAATGGAATACTGACTGTGAAATGGCCTAAGAGCTTAATCCCTGACCCCATGGGAGCAGCGATGGAAATCCCCGCACAACCTCCACCTTCCTGTTGAAGTAACAGCCCCATGGATGTGTAGCAGAATGGACCAGCAGAGCTTCGATGAAAGCCTCACAGTCTACAGATAGGGAGGGTCGAGCTCCTGGGGGTGGCGTGGTGGGGGAGGGGGGAGGTTGTCCAAGGTCACTCAGCTCAATTTCAACTTCTTGGATGGAAAGCAGGGACATTGAGCTTACTCTCTCTTACCTGGACCATTTGCAACATTATTCACTGAGGAGCTGGCCACTGCTCTGATCAGATCAGGAAAGAGGCTGCTCAGGGAATTCTCTTTCCTCTAAATCGTTTTAGAGGCTCAAACTCAACTTGTCTGCACACAGTGGAGCAGGCTCTGCCAGCATGGAATTTTGAAAAGTGACATGCACAGGGAGATGGGAACTCTGCCAAGTCACAATCAGGACTTAGGTTTTCTCCCTAATAAGTGCACCAGAGCACAGGGTCCCAAACTGGTCTGGGTAGTGCTGCAGGAAATGCTGATTGTCAGCAGATACCTGTGCTGAGCATTCTGCATACATCACCTCCATAGATCCTCACAGCCATGGTATGAGGTGGGAGTGATTACTGTCCCCATTTTACAGATGAGGAAACTGAGGCTCCAAGAGCCTGATACAGTTGTCCTGGTTGAGCCGAGATTTGAACCAGGTCTGCCTGTTCTAAAGGTCATTCTCTAGGCCACTTCTTTTTTTTTTCCTTTGCGGTATGTGGGCCCTTCACTTTTGTGGCCTCTCCCGTTGCGGAGCACAAGCTCCGGACCCGCAGGCCCAGCGGCCATGGCTCACGGGCCCAGCCGCTCCGCGGCATGTGGGATCTTCCCGGACCGGGGCACGAACCCGTGTCCCCTGCATCGGCAGGCGGACTCTCAACCACTGCGCCACCAGGGCAGCCCTAGGCCACTTCTTCATCTCTCATTCCATCAGGTGGTCCAGGAACCATTTCGCCCGTGAGCAAGACTTGATGTGTGTAATTTGAACATATCAAAGATGTGTGAAACAAGCGATGATGCTGTTGAATAAGCATGGGTGGACGTCCTGAGATTTCCTTGTTCATTTAGCTTCTGGTCCCTCCCAGCATCAGGGGTCAGCCCCACGAATGCTCTGGCTGCAGGGTCTGCTCCCAGCCACCCCCCACCCCCAACCTGTCTGGGACTCACAATGATGTCCCCGCCTCTGACAAACTGCAGACGCAGCTGGAACACGGTGATGTCCAGGAGGTAGATGAGGTCACACAGGTAATCCACCAGCAGCCAGAGGTGGATGTTGTCCGGCATCTGGTAGGGGAAGGCCCAGCGCACGGGAATCAGCCAACAGTTCCAGTTCCAGGCCAGCACCACGAAGAACAGCCACAGGATGTACATCAGGTCTGCAGGGGTGGGAGGGGGCGGGAATATGCTAGAACATCAGCCAGCGAAGGGCTCCTCGCCATGGGATGAGGGTGGGGCTTTCTGCTTCCCACTTGTCTGTCTGCACTTTCCTACAAGCACTATATGCGGCCCTCTGTAATTTGCGGGGGGGGACATGTAAAACTGTCTTTGATATAAAAATAAATCACGGCTAGGCCCTAACAAATTGAGTACTCTGAGTAGGGGATATGGGATATGGGGTCATTACTAGTTAATAGACAGCTAACCAGAAAACACTTTTGCTCTCATCCTTGTTGAAATTTTTCCAAAAATGTATTTCCTGCCTTTGTAAATACACAATAGTAAATAATGCATAGAAGATGGACAGATGGATACACAGATGGACAAGTGCATGGATGGATGGATGGATACTGTAAGTCACCTGGGCATTTTATCAGTTATTTATTTATTTATTTTTGTTTTTAATTTTTTTGACGGCGCTGGGCAGCTTGTGGGATCTTAGTTCCCCGACCGGCGATCAAACCCATGTCCCCTGCAGCAGAAGTGCAGAGTCCTAACCACTGGACCACCAGGGAATTCCCCCCACCTGGGCGTTTTAAAGGACCAATGGACACCAGGGTTGAAGTCCTGCCCCGCAAATGACTTCGTGTGTGTCCTTAGGAAAGTCCCTCTCTGGCACCTGTTCTGTCCTCCTCAGAGAAGTCATAAGGAGAAGTCAGATAAAAAAGGCAGGGAGACCCTTTGTAAACTGTGAAGTGCGGCACACATATGAAGCGTTGTTATTCCTGAAGAATACAAAATGGGCTAAAAGGCAAGTGAGAGGGACTTCACTTTAGATGTTGGAAGAAATTTTCCCCTTTTCTGCTCAGAGCAGCAGCTCTGGGAAGGAGCCAGGAAGAGCAGAGTAGAAAAAAGACTAGGCCAAGAGTCAGGAGTCGTGAGTCTGCCACTGACTAGTTGTGTCTTTAGGCCAGTTAACTTCTCTGTACCTTAGTTTGCTTGTCTGTTAAGATGGGTATGATCTTATGTTCCTAGTTCAGGGACTTTGTTTGTTTGGGGCCCGCCCTTGCACTGCCCCCACCCCCTCCCATTCTCCTGCCCTCTCATGTGACATGTGGCAACGCCCACCGCCTTCCCAGGACTCACTGGTCAGCGGGTCGATGCTCTGGGGAAACTGGTACCTCTTCCAGGGGTGGCGTTTGAACTTGCAGCAGAGCATTTCACAATAGTGTTCCTCCTCCACCTGCCCCGCTTCAGCTGGCTTCACATCCAGGGCCGGCTCTGGGGCTTTCTTGGCTGGGGCTGTGGGATGACACTGTGACCCTCTGACCCAGCCCTGAGGCTCGGGTAGCGGATGCAAAGAGAAGGCTCTCAGGACTTCCCTGGTGGCGCAGTGGTTAAGAATCCACCTGCCAGTGCAGGGGACATGGGTTCGAGCCCCGGTCCGGGAAGACCCCACACACTGCGGAGCAACTAAGCCTGTGTGCCACAACTACTGAAGCCCGCGAACCACAACTACTGAAGCCCGTGCGCCACAACTACTGAAACCCATGCACCTGGAGCCTGTGCTCCACAACAAGAGAAGTCACCGTAATGAGAAGCCCGCACACTGCAACGAAGGGTAGCCCCTGCTCGCCACAACTAGAGAAAGCCCGCACGCAGCAACAAAGACCCAACGCAGCCAAAAATTAATTAATTATTAATTAATTAATTAATTAAAACAAAAAAAAGAGAAGGCTCCCAACTGCAGACTCTGGAACTAAAGCTGAGGGGACCCTGGCACCATCCCATAACCTGCTACAAGCTCTGGGTGCTCTCCTGCAGCAAACCACAAAGATCCTCCTTAATAGCAACGTGGGCACCTGCTCTGAACTCTTAACAGGTACCAGTCTGGGACTGCTTCTCAGGAACTGCCTAAAATCAGGTGTTTCTGGGCAAGTTGGATGTTTCAGTTGAGTGTGTGCTTGTGTGTCTGTGATTGGACCCCTTGGTTTCTCTGGAGGGCTAGGGGCATTGGTACCCAGAACTTCCACCACCCAGGGCCAGAAATCAGGAAAACATTGTTCTAGGTTTTTCAGAGCAGAAATCTCAGCTGTCTCATCTCTAAAACAAGACATCAAATGGGATCACGGTTTTCCTGTGCATCTATGGTGATGTTGTTGGTGACCTAGAAATTGGTTCTTACAGGTTTAATATGGCTGTGTTTCCAGGTTTAGGAGTGTGAAGTCAGGCTCTGCTAGGTCCACTGTTGGCACCATGAGTTCTAAGGCACAATCCTCCTTTGAAAAGACCTAGAAAACCTCCCTGGCGAGACAGCATGGTTCTTATTTCCTCCTGGCACTTTGAAAGCAGGAAACTTTCAGGTAACCCCATAAGAATATTGCAATGGAGGCCTCTGAAAAATAAGACTGTGTAGTTCCAGAGTGGGTTATGGACACCATCTAAGTGCAAGACCATGAGATACATCCCAGGATGGACCACCTGCCCGCCAGTGGGAAAGGGGCAGGGGGTCAACAAGGGAACTTGCCCTGTGGGAGGGAGAGCCAAGTACAACTGGATCACTGGTCAGAACTTTGACATTCTTTCCTCCCCTGGACACGTAGCTAAACCTGTACATAAAGGACCTCAAATTCCAGAGAATGGAGATCTGGGCTTCTCTCAAGCACCCCAACCGTTTCCTTGGGGCCACCCTCCCCAAGAATTGACAGGGCCCTTAAGGGGCCCCACCCCACCCCTGGTCAGGCGGCCCAGCCCCAGCTCTGGACTCACAGGGCTTGGGGCTCTCTTCATCAGAGGTGACATCAGGGTCGATGAGCTTCTCCTTCACCTGCTCCGTCCGCTCCTTGAAAAGCTTCACCAGCTCCTGGAGCCGGTTGTTGATGAGGGCACTGGTCTGGCTGTCTGTGGAGGCTGTGCGGTCCTGGTCACTGAGGGAACACCACCCAGAGCTAAGCGGGCTGCGTGGGGAGGGACCCCCGCGCCACCGGGCAAGAGCTGAATCTGTATCCCACCTGGCCTCAGCGGGTAAATCCTGGCCCAGTCTTCTTCTGACATCAAAACATCAAACCCACCTTAATATCTCCTGGGAGGAAATTCAGTCTGGGATTAACACCCGGGTGCCCAGCTTTCAGAAAATGTACCACGAATGCTCTGATTCAGATGGGCAATTCCAAAAAAACCTGGATTCCACTTGTGATTTAGGGGGAAACTCTGGAACTCAGTTCAGGCCTGTTAGTCTCAGTTTGGGGTTCACATGAGATACAGGACAGATCAGAGAGGGGACAGGGGCTACTTTTTTAGGCTTAGGAAATAACTGATGGAAAAAACAGTGCAGGGAATTCCCTGGCTGTCTGGTGGTTAGGACTCTGTGCTCTCACTGCCGAGGGCCCAGGTTCGATCCCTGGTCAGGGAACTAAGATCCTAGAAGCTGCACAGCGCAGCCTAAATAAATAAATATTAAAAACAGTGCAGATACATTACATATTCTTTTAATTTATAGGACTTTAAACTGCATGAACTTGCAGCAAGGGAGAGACAGACACAGACAGAGAATGAATGATAGTCTTCCGCTCAGTGTGTGTCAAGAGCCCTGGGTGAGTTGAGACAGGCGGCCGTGTGAACCAGCCGATGTTCTGTGTTCTCCTCTGAGTAGCCTGTGATCTTCTTGCTGAGCTGAGGGTAACACTAATGTTTACAGATCTACTGTTTTTTCTCATACATTGAGGCACTGAAACGCAAGCCAGCTACTCTTGTGCTCAGTTGAGGGAGCTAGCTGGAGAAAAGCAGTGTGTGGGGGGGTCATAATGAGAGATGGCGCTGGGGGGCGGAGGAGACACGAGCTGCTCACCCACACCCACTCCCTCCTGCAGGGAGGGGTCACCACGCAGCCAGGGACTACGTTGCCCAGGTGTGGCCGTGTGAGCTCTCACGGGTGGACATGCTAGTGCAATTCCGAGCCTCCCTGTGGAAAAGCGGCCTGGCACTCCCCCTTTCTAGTGGTGACCAGCAGGGTCTTGAAAGCCACACAAAGGTGGCAGAGCCACTGTTGGCTGGGGCCCTAAATGACTGCAGGGGGCAGAGCCTTCCACTGACCTGAAACACACCACCAGTGACACACCTGTGACATATTAGATGTCTTGTTCCTTAAGCCACTGAATCATTGAGGTCTATTTGTTATAGCATCTTAACCTACTGAGGTAATACATGGGGTTCCATGCTGACCACCTTAAGAGTTTTCAAAGGTAATTGTTATTATTGTACCTGATTTCTGGCTTATTTTCTGATATTAAACCCTACTCCTACCCCTACCCTACTGCATAAGATGTGACTCCACTGTATGCTAAAACGGATCACTGGACTATAAGTGAGGTTTGGGTTTTTTCCTGCTTCTTTTGCTTTTCTGAACTTTCCACAATACTGTTAAGCATAAACTCCATAAAATTATGGACAGAAAAACAGACTGGAAGGGAAGTATATTATCTCCTAAGGTCACTCCAAAAGCTATGGCAGGAGAGGAGGTGAGGATCCCAGGCCAGAGCCCAGGGCTGGGGTACTCACTGTCACCAGCCGACGTAGACCCTTCAGGAAAACACCTCCCACTGGCCCAGCCCTTGTGACACTTCGATGTCAGAGACACAGGTCCCGATGCCCTCGTAGTGGCCTCTGAACATTGTTCCACAGACCAGCTGCATCAGAATCACCTGGGGAGCTTATAAAGATGTGGATTCCCCACGGCCCACTCTCTGTGGTTCTGGACACAGCTGGGCCCAGAGTTTGAGCCCATTCTGCAGACCAGATTTTTCAGAATTTCTGGGCTGGTCAGAAGCAGCCTGGACAGGAGACCCGGCCCTCTCTTACTGCCGGGAAGCCACTGGCACAGTCTGCCTTGGGGTAGAAGGTTCTAAAAACATCCATTCTCCCCCCAACTCACCTCCCTTTGCTTGCCCATCGCCGCCCAGACTTCTGATTCCCTGAGACCCCAGAGGTGGCCCCCACTTACTCAGTGCCCTGCGGGCTGGTGGGGTCCGAACAAGCGACCACGGGCGATACAGCCGGTGACAGCATCTTGAGCTCTTCAGCCTCATCATCTTGGGAGCACAGCCTCTTCCTGCAAGAGCACAGACATGGAAGGGAGGGGCCTTCAGGGAGGCAGGGGCCGCTGCGAGGGGATGAATCAACTTTGAGCCCTGCAGATCACCCAGAGTGAATCCTGGCGGGGGAGGTGGGGACAGAGGATGGTGCGAGGACCAAAGGGTCCTCGCTTGCCTGCAGGGAAACAAAAAAGAGAAGAGGGGACACATCCAACCTCTGGATCTCGGTCTCTGCATCCATTCAATGGCCTAGCATAAAAGTAACAGCACTGACTTGGGATCGGGCAAACCCGAATTTGCACCCCAGCCCTGCTTCTTCCCAGTGTGTGACCTTGGCAATTTACTCAAACCCTCTGAGCTGCCTCAGTTTTCCCCCTCTATAAAATGGGACTAAATCTACCCAATTCAGTGAGGTGCTTATCACTCAGTCGGGTCTCAGTTTAAATATCCTTCTGCCTTCCACTTCCCAGTCTGAGGGCACTGCCCTTCCCAGGCCACCCCGTCCCCTTCTCCATCACACCACCCTTCCAGCTACTGAGAAGGTGCGAGGGCTCACATTCCATCTTATTAACTCTCCTGGAAGCTCAGCTTCTCTCCCTTTGCAGATGTGCCCCTGGCTGGAAAAGTTGACACCCACGGGCCATGAAGTCTGTTTTCCAGCTCATGATGTGACCTGGGGAAAGCCCATCCCCGCCTGGAGTTCCCGCTTCCCTATCTGAAGAATGAAGATTAAATTATGCCCAGGTCCCCCATCATTCAGTCCAAGTCTGCCACAGAGTGCTGCATTTGGAATCACTGGTGTCTCAGCTAATGGTGTCTAGATTTGAATCCGCTTGGTACTCTTCCCATACTCAACCACTGTGACTCAGGATTCCATCATCAGGGCTTGTAAAGGGATACAGTCAGAGGGATGTGCAGCATTATTCCACAAGGCTCTGAAACCACCCTATTACCTTCTGCCAACTCGCCTAGAATGGCAAAACTCATGGGCTCACCTCTTTTTTTTTTTTTTTTTTTTTTTTTTTGGTCGAGTTCTGGCTCCATGCTTCACCCCTGTTGGACACTCAGCAAATATTCATTACCAATTGTGAAGGTTATTCTAACAGTGCTGGGGGAAGAAACCATACATGATTAGTAAATCCTGCATGTCCTTTTCACTTTCAGATAATCCTATAACTGTGCCCCTGAAACATAGTGTTTAAGTTACTAGATTATTTAGGGAATCATAGGTAGAGGACTTACGTCATAAGAAAGAAGAAGAGTTTGTTGGTACTTATTTTGACCGGCAGGCGGACTCTCAACCACTGCGCCACCAGGGAAGCCCGGGCTCACCTCTTTTATGCTCTAACTAAAAGGATGCCTGCAAACAAGAAGACTGGGGCAAAAATCTCACAACTGGGACTTAAATTCAGGCCTCCTACTCCCAGCCCAGTGCCCTCTCCGGGCCTGGAGAGAATCCAGAGTGTGGAACTAAATCAGCAGCTATGCTCCTCCAGCACCGCCCAGTGCCTGGCCCTGTGCTGAACACCTCACATACAGTAGCTTGTTGAATTTTCATAATCCTAGTAGACAGGGGATGTTTGGGATTCACTCCAAACCACAGCATTGCACTGTGAGAAGGGCCTTGCCCGTGTGCCCCTCTGTTTTGGTGGCTTTTCTGCTCCCATCAGTTGCCCCCAGTGCTCATTCCATCCTGGACCACAGGCAGCCGCACTGGCCTCTCATGTCAGGCATCAGAATTCCTTCTTGGCGCCAAGCTCAGGCTGAGGCTTCCCAGTTTCTCACAGTCACATTCTCCTTAGCACTCTCTGGAAAAATCTTGTGTGATTATTTGTTCATTGTCTATCTCGGCCCCACTGGAATGTCAGCTCCATGAGGGCAGGCCCCTCTCAGGCTTCTCCCTGATGCAACCACAGCAGCTAGAGCAGAGCCTGGCACATAAAGATGTTCAGTAAATGTTTGCAAATGAATGAAAGAATGATAATAAGAGGAGCCTCACAGACCCAGCTCATAAGCAAAAGGCAGGAGGCTTTGATTCTTGTCCCAAGTGATCTTAGTCCCCTCCCTCCTCCCGAATATCCACCTTTAACCCAGCCTGTACAGTTTCCCTACCCTTATAAAGGGAACAGAGGGAGGTAGACCAGATGTCTACAATTATGGTGGTGCCCTGTCTTCTGCTCTCTGTACTCTGTGCATGATTCAATGAATTAAACGTGAGGACTGATGTGTCTGTGAGCTGTGTTCCAAGGCTGGGTGAGATTATGACTCTTTTCTCCACATCAAAATCTGGGAGCCTTCTGTTTGCTACGTCCAGCCATCTCTGCTTTGGCAGTCTTCTGACCTCAGCTGAGAAATTACTCAAGGGTTCATGGATAAAAGCAAGAATTAATCAAGAAAAAAAGAACCATCCCTCAATCTAGCTAGCAAAGGAGATGCACTGGCAGCTCCCCTTTAGCTTAATTAACCATTCACAAAACACTGTACTGCACTTCACAGACGACCTACAGCTCTGTGCAGGCCCTCTCTCAGTTACCTGGCTCAGGCTGTCCAAAACCAACTCTAACCATGCAGCAACTAACTTATCTCGAGAGGCACAAAAATGCATGCAACCCTGACCAGGAAACCCACTCTCAAGAAAGGAGCCCAAGGACAGAGGGCAGAAGACCAAAGAGATATTTGTAGCACCACTGTGGACAGTATTCAACAACAGAGGATTGTTATGTCTATCCTGGCACATGGAGCTGGAGGATGTCAACACAGCATCACAATGCGTGTTAAGGAGACGGACTAGCAATACGGAAAAGGGCTCAATAAAAAAGATGTGGTCTCAGATGAGATACGATCCAATCACTCCTTCAACTAAAACCACTCAAAAGCATGGGCCCACAAACAAGGTATGGAAGAGAAGGCAGAAAAATAAAAGTAGCACCTAGAGTGGTGGGAATAGGGATGGTTATTATATCTAGTGTTCTTTGGTATGTCCATTGTATTATTTAACAATAAAATTAGCCCTGTCACATTTATTACCCCCTTCAAACGTACAATTGAGGGTATTCTGGGCAGGGCTTCCTCAGAGAGCTCTTTCTATAGAGGCTGAAGCCAGAAATTAGGAGAACTGAAAATGGTGGGACCAGAGTCCCAGCGCCGACAGCAACGCACTGAGTGACTTGGGCCAGCTTCTTCCCCTCTCTGGCCCCAGTGTCCTCAAATGCCAAATGCACAGGTGGCACAGTGCTATGAAAAGCCCAAGAGAAGCATAAAAGGTGACCTGAGGCTCCCCGTGGCTGATCCTGGGACGCGAAGTGTGTCGGATTCGGCAGGAGACGGGGGCAGCGGCCCGGGAGAGGGTGGATTCTCCTCGCTGAGGGGCTGGCCATCGGCAGCAGCGTCTTCCACCTGCACTTCCGGGTGCTCTTCTGTGGCAGGTACTGGGGAGAGGAAGGAGGCACAGCGTCAGAGGGAAGCCACGTCCCAGGGCCTTGCTGTGTTCTACAGGGGAGCCACAGAAAGCGTGTGTGGAGGGGCCTCTGGAAGCCTTGCCTCCCAACAGGGCCCACAGGAGAGATCCATGCAGGGGGCACAACGATGCAGAGCCCGGGGCCCTCTGACAGCCACGCCCATGCCAGCCACTAACCCAGGAGCCACAGAAGAAGCCACGATGCCACAGAAGCCACAGGAGCTCCTGAACACAGCCTGGAGCCCAGCTCTCCAAAACCCAGCCTGGTTTCCCTGGGCCTGGAGAAGCATCAAGGCCCTGAGGTGGGTGATGCGGGTGCATCACTCAGATAGGACATGGGGAGCCTGGGGGTGCCACGTCCTAGGGCCTGGCCCGGTGCGGCCGGGCTCAGCTGCTTCCCCTCTCTGGGCCTCAGTTTCCCCATCCCAAGGTAGGAGTGACAAGGCTTTCCCAGGCCTGTGGGGGCATGAGACATGGGGCTAAAGGGCCTCACACCCTTTTTATATTTCATTTACCATGTTGTGTCAATCTCTGCTGTACAGCAAAGTGACTCAGTTATACACATATCAACATTCTTTTTAATATTCTTTTCTATTATGGTTTGTCACAGGATACTGAATATAGTTCCCTGTGCTCTACAGTAGGACCTTGTTGTTTATCCATCCTATGTATAATAGTTTACCTCTGCTAATCCCAAACTCCCAGTCCTTCCCTCCCCACCCCCCTCCCCTTTGGCAACCACCAGTCTGCTATGTCTGTGTGTCTGTTTCTGTCTTGTAGATAGGTTCATTTGTGCCATATTTAGATTCCACATGTAAGTGATATCATATGGTATTTGTCTTTCTCTTTCTGACTTACTTCACTTGGTGTGATAATCTCTGGTTGCATCCATGTTGCTACAAATGGCCTTATTTCATTCTTTTTTATGGCTGAGTAGTATTCCATTGTATATATGCACATCTTCTTTATCCATTCTTCTGTCAGTGGACATGTAGGTTGTTTTCACATCTTGGCTATTGTGAATAGTGCTGCTATGAACATAGGGGTGCATGCATCTTTTTGAATTATAGTTTTGTCTGGGTATATGCCCAGGAGTGGGATTGCTGGATCATATGGCAACTCTAGTTTTAGTTTTCTGAGGAACCTCCATACTGTTCTCCATAGTGGCTGCACCAATTTACATTCCCACCAACAGTATAGGAGGGTTCCCTTTTCTCCACACCCTCACCAGCATTTGTTATTTGTAGACTTTTTAATGATAGCCATTCTGACCAGTGTGAGGTGGTACCTCACTGCAGTTTTGATTTGCATTTCTCTAATAATTAGTGATGTTGAGCATCTTTTCATGTGTCTGTTGGCCATCTCTATGCCTTCTTTGGAGAAATGTCTATTAACGTCTTCTGCCCATTTTTCAATTGGGTTGCTTTGTTGTTGTTCTTGAGTTGTTTGAGCTGTTTGTATATTTTGGAGATTAAGCCTTTGTCTGTCACATCATCTGCAAATATTTCCTCCCATTCCCTAGGTTGTCTTTTTTTTGTTTTTTGTTTTTGTTTTTAATGGTTTCCTTTGCTGTGCAAAAGCTTGTAAGTTTGATTAGGTCCCATTTGTTTATTTTTGCTTTTATTTCTATTGCCTTGGGAGACTGACCTAAGAAAACATTGATACTATTTATGTCAGAGAATGTTTTGCCTATGTTCTCTTCTTGGAGTTTCATGGTGTCATGTGTTACGTCTGAGTCTTTAAGCCATTTTGAGTTTATTGTTGTGTATGCTGTGAGGGTGTGTTCTACTTCATTGATTTACATGCAGCTGTCCAACTCTCCCAGCACCACTTTCTGAAGAGACTGTCTTTTCCCCATTTTATATTCTTGCCTTCTTTGTCAAAGATTAATTGACTGTAGGTGTGTGGGTTTATTTCTGGGCTCTCTATTCTGTTCCATTGATCCGTATGTATGTTTTTGTACCAGTACGATGCTGTTTTGATTACGGTAGCTTTGTAGTATTGTCTGAAGTCTGGGAGAGTTATGCCTCCTTCTTTGTTTTTTTTCCTCAGGATTGCTTTGGTAATTCTGGGTCTTTTATGGTTCCATATAAATTTTTTGATTATTTGTTCTAGTTCTGTGAGAAATGTCTTGGGTATTTTGATAGGGATCATATTAAATCTGTAGATTGCTTTGGGTAGTATTGTCATTTTAACAATATTAATTCTTCCAATCCAAGAGCATGGGATATCTTTCCATTTCTCTGAATCCTCTTTAATTTCCTTTATTAATGTTTCATAGTTTTCAGTGTATAAGTCTTTCACCTCCTTGGTCAGGTTTATTCCTAGGTATTTTATTTTATTTTTTTCTGGTGCTGTTTTAAAAGGTATTCTTTTTTTACATTCCCTTTCTGATATATCATTGTTAGTGTGAAGAAATGCAACCAATTTTTGAATGTTTATCCTGTGTCCTGCTACTTTGCTGAACTCATTTATTAGATCTAGTGGTTTTTGCGTGGAGTCCTTAGGATTTTCTATATACAGTATCACGCTTTTGCATATAGTGACAATTTTACCTCTTCAGGCCCTCACAGGAGAGAGCCACGGTGCGGCGGGGACGTCCCCCTGCTTCCCTGAAGACCTTGAGGGAGGTGAGCTGGAGATGGGCCAGGGGCGTGGAGGCAGCCAGTACAAGGGCAGCTTCTCAAAAATGCTCAGGGCCCTGGGGTGCCCCAGCATGGCCCCCAGGCAGCAAAAAAACACCCTGGTCTCAGCATCCATGAGGCTGTCTCACGGAACCTGGGAAGGAGAAGGTGGTCCCCTTACCCCCTGCCTCGCCTGCATAAGACCTTATGAGCTCAATCACTCCCAGGGGAGGGCGGGGAACTCCTAAGCCTGATGTTTCATTTCCTGCCAGCTTGGCAGAGTAGAAACTCAAAGTAGAAATTATATTCGTTTATATTATACTGATTTATAGAATAAGAATACTGTAATCCCAACTATAAAGAATATCTTATGCTTAAATTGGTTTAGAGAATAATAATATTTACTGTTAAGCACTTCTCATATGCCTGCTAGGCACTAGTTTCACTAAACTCTAAGCGCTTTATATATATAAACTCCTTCATCGTTCCAGCCACTCTATGAGTGTTACCTGTTACCATTGTCCCCATTTTGTGGAGAAGGAAACCGAAGCACAGAGAGATTAAGAAACTTTCAGCAGAGCCCAGATTTGGACCCAGGCAGCCTGGCTCCAGAGCTGAAACTCTTATCCCATCCTGAGGTTGGTGACCAGCATATGTAGAGGCCTCTGTCAAAATAAAACCTCGGCTGAGAGGTGCCAAGCAGCACCATTGAAATGGGAATAATGTTCTCACTACATGCTGTCACCGCCTTGTCTGCAGCATCTAAGATCATCGTGTGTCCTACTGCTTAGATTGGGCATAGGTAGAAACCATACATAAGACCCGCAAACCATCACTGAAGGACCTTGCTCTTGATCCTAGATAGTAAATGTTTTAGAACGAAGTCTGGGGAAGAAAGCCTTGATGTACATCTCTCTGTTAATCTGTGCTGTAAATTCGACCACTAGTGTGACCAATACCAAGCCTTATATAAATCCCTGTTTTTCAAATCTTTTAACTATTTGAAAGATTTTTTTGACTGACAATATTTTCTATTTCTCTACTTGTTTTACTTTTTTTTTTTTTTTTTTTTTT